TTGTTTCAAATAAAACCTGTGGTTTCAAACGTCCTTAAGTTGACAGAAAACTGTCTATTTGGGTCTCTTTGTTCATTTACTGATGATTTGAAGTTGTTTGCAAGAGATGTAAAAAGGATCCGGTACTACACGATCAAGACAACGATCAGAAAAAAGTCTGAAGACCTTATTTGAGCAATCTTCTCTTTAATAATGAAATAAGGCTGTGCAATATATTGTTGTTTTATCGTCATCGCAAAGTCAACTAAACACATCTTGAAAGACGGCAATGTTTCTAGATAGGCTACGTTAGCTAGCTAGCTTACAGCAGATATGCAGTAACAGCAGAAGGAGTGATCACGTTGTTCAAATAAGCCAATAACATTTAAGGTAACATGCGCAGCTTTTCCTCAAGTTGCTGAATGTTTTCTAAATGCTGCGTGTGTTGCCAAGTTGCTGAAGACGTTTCTTCGTGTGTTTTACAAATTTGCGTTTTTATTTTTCGATTGTTCCTGGAGCTGCAGCGGGAAGTCAATTTGCTAAATGGAAGAATGTTGGAATAAATGTCCTTTTTATTCAACAAGCGCTTTTTTCTATAAAAGCATTTGACTGAAAGACACAGAAATGCAGGAGTGATTAGCACCTAGTGTTTAGGGCTGTACCCGAATATCCGAATATTCGTTCGTTGGAGTACTATTCGGGTTTCAATTTCGTTATTCGGATATTCGTTTTGTTTGTTTTTTTCGTTTTTTTTCAAATTGAATTGATTGAAATCTCCAATATTAACGTAAGAGCTTGTGCCTCTTCGGGGAGTGCTAACACTTAACCATAAACTTTATCGTTTAATTTCTCCGTCTTTATAAGTAGATATTACTTTTCTCCGTTAATCTCCGTCACGTTGTTTCCATAGCAACAACAACTTCCTGTCAACTGCGCTACCTCTCCTTCAAAATAAAAGCATGTCTATAAATAGGAAGCCAAGCCAAATTACACTTCAGACATATACAACTGCAACGAAAGTAACAAACACAATGCGATATCCATTTCAATTTCAAAGAACAGAAATTGGGTTACATTAACAAATAACTATAAAACAACAATACTGTAGAATAACAAAATGAAGGGCCGAATATTCGAATATTCGCTGCTGATTACTACCGAATGTCCGGAGCCCGAAAAATGGTATTCGGGACAGCCCAGGTATCACAAGGTTAGTAAATGATCATTTTCTACACTTTCCGTTTAGCTATACAGATGTAGAGTCTAACAGCTTAATCTAATACTTGAAAGTGATTAATTTAACTCACATGAGGCGTTCATGGAGTTGAACCAGTTGAGTTGGGAGTGACTGTCCACGTTGCAGCCCCCCCCGCTGACCCAGGCCCACAGAGGGCGCTCATCCGCCCCGTACGGGTCCTCCATGGCCAGAGTGTACGTGGCCACTGACGACAGGCTGCAGGTGTCCACAGAGTCCAACACAAGTCCAGTCTGCTGAATCTGCGCCTCCTCCAGATCCACGTTACACCACTGGGGGTCCTGAGGGGGAATAGCTACACCTGCACAGGGGTCTTTGAGATCTTCCTCCACAGCGAGGGGTTCCTCCTCCAAAGCAGCAGGGGGAGTTTCCTCTCTGGAAGTCTTTGCCGGTTCTCGGTCAGAGACGAGTTCAGAGATGAAGCTGTCGCTGGTGACTTTGGGGATGTGGGGTTTGGGGGTCTCGACAGGTTGGTCTGTGGAGGCATCAACGAGGGACTCGGGAGAGGAGGAGGTGACGAGGCCTGTGGCTCCGTCTGTAGATCCTCTCTCCGACTCCACATCGCTCACTGCTGACTGAGCGCGCACCTCACCACAGAAATAAATTCCAGCACTGTGACGTGGAGGGGGAGAAGATGACAAGTTTCTTACAATAAGTGCAATCAGACATAAGGATAGAAAGTCAGAACAGCAAGAAACCTGCATCAGCTTCAAATAAGACTTTTAACCTTTTCAAAGTGCTACAAACTGAAATTAAAAGACGTTTGCTTCTTTTACAGAATGTATTTAAATGTTAATGTTGCACTGTTGAGGAACCTGCAATCTATATGACTACACCGTAGTTGTGTATATGTTATGAAAAAAACCTTTGAATGTTGAATAATGGCCTGCTCTGGTAGCATGTTTGTAATTCTACTATTCCTGCTTCCTCCAGTGATTAAGAAAATGTTATTATATACATTTAAGCACATTTGCAAAACACTTGATTGATCTAACACCTGAAAATAAATCTAATTATGTAATGATAAATGTTGGTTTGTTATTAAACTGTGACTCAGTCCACGCTCGTCTTTACGTTCGGAAGAAATAAAACATGGTAAACATTATCGTAAGATTTTGGCTCATGCAAATACTAAAGTTCAATAACCAATATGTTTTCAAGTGTATGGTAGTGTGTGTGTGTGTGTGTGTGTGTGTGTGTGTCCACTGGGCATCAGTACCTCTGCAGGGAGCTTGCGCTGGCACTGGAGTGGGATCGGTCTCCGTCTCGGGGGACAGTGATGGCCCTCCAGGTTTTCCCACTCAGCTCACTAGAGGTCACACCTTGTCTGAAGTACACCGCCCGATCCTCAGAGCTGATAGCCAAAACCTACACACACACACACACACACACACACACACACACACACACACATACACAAGATCGGAAGAGC